GAGTTCATTGATAGTTTCAGATTTCCTGGTGCAACTAACCTTTAAGAAACTCATCAAGTTTCAAAGAAAAATATCCACAATTATCTGAAAAGGATATTAAAATATGCCTTCCTTTTCTGCCTACATATCTGTGTGAAGCTAGATTTTCTTCATTTACTTCAACTAAAACAACATACCACAACTGATTCCATACAGCAGCAGAATGAGAATCTAGCAGTCTTCTATTAAAGGCAGAAGCTAAGGAGACTTGCATAAATGTGGATACAATGCCATTTTTCTTAACCTCTTTTGGGAAAATAGTTATTTACATGTAACTAGTTTAGAATATTAAATATATAATTATTTTATCATTAAATGTTAAAATACAGACTTTATTATTGTCATTTTAGAATAAATTAATACATATTTTTAAAACCCAGTTTTGATTTCTAATATGGTAAATATTGATAAATATAACCCATATAATAAAAGCTTTTTGGAATCTTCAGTTATTTTTAAGAATGTAAAGCGGTCCCGAGACCAAAATGTTTGAGAACCACTAGAATAAAAGTTTCCAAGATTATGTTGTTAGGAAAAGTACAGATTGGTGTGGTTTTATTTAGCATTTGTGGGGAAAAGGATATAAATGGGATACTTATTTTCATGTATGTATGTATGTATGTAAAATTCTTCTGGAAGGATATAGAGGAATTAAGTGTTGGTTCAGCAAGGAGGAAATAAAAGTAAACTGTTTACTTCCTTTTGAATGCATTTGAATTTTATTTATTTATTTTTTCTTTTCTTTTTTTTTTTTAAAGATTTTGTTTATTTATTTGACACAGAGAGAGACACAGCGAGAGAGAGAACACAAGCAGGGCGAGTGGGAGAGGGAGAAGCAGGCTTCCCGCAGAGCAGGGAGCCCAACAATGCGGGGCTCGATCCCAGGACCCTGGGACCATGACCTGAGCTGAAGGCAGACGCTTAACGACTGAGCCACCCAGGCGCCACGCAGATGAATGCATTACTCATTAAAAAAAAAAAAGAAGAAGAAATTGAAGCATTCCTACCAGATATGTTACAAATTTCAGGGAATCTGGCTCTGTTACGAAAAGTTGGAGCAAGTTTGGAGCAATAGTTATTTTTCTGGGAGCTCGCTTTTTCTTTTTTCCCTTTTTTTCTTTTCTTTTCTTTCTAACTTGCTTGTTTTAGGGTAAAAAATTTCATTTAATGTCCAAGCCAAATACATTCATATTGAAATAATGTAAATCAAACAGGTAGCAGTTCCCCCAGTGGGGCCCAAAGTATACTGAACTTAATTTAAGGAGGAACAATTTGTTATTTTTTTTTTAATGGCAGTTATTTCTGGTTCCTTGTAAAGAGATTGGATTTATTTTAGAAGACTTATAATTTATAGTCCTGTTATTTAAAAGGTTTAATAAGTGCAGCATGAAATGTGGAACTAAAAAGCTAAATAAGTGTTCTGACATTTGATTTAGTACAAAAAGTGCTTTTTAATACTCATAACTTTTGAGGCTTTGGAAATTCTTGAAAAGAATAACTAAGGAATTCAATTTTATTTATTCTCTCTGCTATTAAGTGTGCCTTTTGATCAGTGTTCATACTTTTAACTTTTGAATAGATAAAGTGTCTTTTTATGAAAAGGGAAAATTATTTTAATGCAAAAACTCTTCAGATTTTCTTTTTCTCATTTAATACTTCTAAAATTTATTTCTTTGAATGCTGAAATATCATTTCCAGAGTTCTTTGCAGCAGTTTAGAAAGAGGTATTACATGTGATTCTGCCCATTATAGTTAAAAGTTTGCCCATAATGTAGAACCATTTTCCCCAATTTCTTTAGTTAACAGAGAACGCCTTTAATAATGTTAATAGGTTTTTCTGAAGTATTAGACAAATAGTTAATTCATAAGAGTTTATTTACCATCAGTACTCAGTAGTTGCATGTGCATTTATAACGTCTGACATTTTTCAAAGCATACACATATTATTTTCTTTGATTGTTGGCACATCTTGGAAGTAGCGCAATTAGTATTTTTCCTATTTTATAGTTATGGAAATTGAAATTCAGAGGGCTAAATGAATTGCCTAAAGTCAATACAACCTTGTTAGATAGTAAGAAAGCAGTTTAGATGGATACATGGCTAGGTTAGATTTAGATTTAAGCAAATTTAGATTTAGGCAACACTGTCCTTGCAAAAAAACTCATTTATCTCTGCATGCTGTCTTCCAGGTTTTGTGGTGAGCTATGGAGGTATGAAGACAAGGCACAGGTCTTTCCCTCCAGGGGCTTGAAGTTTAGTGGCAGAGGCCACCTAGTGGGAAAAGTGAAGAAGTGGAATGGTGCTCTATATGAGGGCAGAATGTCTCTGACAGGTTTCTTTTTTTTTAAAGATTTTATTTATTAACACAGAGAGAGAGAGAGCACAAGCAGGGGGAGCAGCAGAGGGAGAGGGAGAAGCAGACTCCCTGCTGAGCAAGGAGCCCAAAGTGGGGCTTGATCCCAGGACCCTGGGATCATTACCTGAGCCGAAGGCAGTCGCTTAACCAACTGAGCCACCCAGGCGCCCCTGTTTCCAGCAGTTTTGAGGAAGTGACACAAATCTTGAAGAGTGAATAGAAGTTAGCCAGGGTAGTGATAAAGGCATTCAGGAAGAAAAGATTCGAGGAGGTCTAAAGCAGCACACTGAAGAGTTAGTCGTGCCATGGGAGTACTGTGCTGGGCTGCGTGTGAGAAGTATAGGATGTGAAAGCAGAGAGACTGCGTGCCCTAAAGTTTTCTAAGGTACAGCGTGCTAAAAGAGGGATGTAATGTAAATCGATGGAAGGACTCAGATTGACTAAGGTTTGAGTCTTCGTTCTTGGGCTTAGTGTGGGACTGTAGGTAAGTGACTCCGAACCCTAGTGACCTCATATGTAGAATGGCAGTAACATTCAGTTTGCAGGTAATTAGGAACACTAAGAGAAATAAATGTAAAAAAAGGACCTAGTGTGTGCCAAATCTCTAAATATGCAATCATGGAAGATGAACTAGAAGTAAGGACAGTTCACTACACATGTTCTAATACCTAAGTAGACCTGAAAAAAATAGAAATGAAATCTTATTTTAAAAATAGTATTGGAGGGGTGCCTGGGTGGCTCAGTTATTAAGTGTCTGCCTTCGGCTCAAGGTCATGATCCCAGGGTCCTGGGTTCGAGCCCCGCATCGGGCTCCCTGCTCAGCAGGAAGCCTGCTTCTCCCTCTCTCACTCTCCAAGCTTGTGTTCCCTCTCTCACTGTGTCTCTCTCTGTCAAATAAATAAAATCTTTAAAAAAAAAAAATAGTGTTGGAACATTTGGACATTTCTAAAACATCTTACCTGAAGTGGTTTTTTAAATTTCATTGTTTAATATTTTGGAATCTTTCAGTGTGGCATTTCCCTATTTTCCTTGTTTGAAAGCAAGACTTTCTGTACCAGGGTATGGTTGTCCAGTAGTGAGACTGCCAGTGGTTCGAGTCACTTTTGTTTGCATGACGATTTGTGCCATCCCTTCACCCCAACTCTCTGGCCCTGGAATGAATTCTTACCTGGGAGACCTGGATGTATCCTCTTTTAACACTCTTAATTTTAGACAAGTGACTTGCCCATTTGTGCGTTTCTTCAGTATTAAAATGGTACTAATTAATTTAGCTTTAGAGAATAAAATTAAACAGTGGATGGATATACTTTCATAAAGCACAGTGCCTTAGTCCGCTGGGGCTGCCATAACAAAATACTACAGACTTTGGGTGGTTTAAACAACAGAAATTTACTTCTCCCTGTTCTTGAGGCTGGGGAGTCTAAGATTAAGGCTGATTTGGTTTCTGATGAGAATTCTCTTCCTGGCTTGTAGATAGCTTCGGGCTTGCTGTATGCTCACGTGGCCTTTCCTCCGAGTGTGCTGGGGGGTGAGATAGATAGAGGGAAAGAGACAGGAAGAGAGGGGAAGGGAGAGCGAGCTGCCTGGTTTCTTTTCTTATGACACTAATCCTGAAGGATCAGGGCTCCACTCTTATGACCTTATTTAGCCTAATTGCTTCCTTACCCCACATACGGCCACACTGGTTTGGGCTTCAACATATGAATTTGGGAAGGGGGACACATAATTTAGCCCATAACATGCAGTAAAATTGAAAGTATTTCTTTTGATGGCTTTATGACTTGGTATTTTGGTAACAATGAGTTAAAAGCCAGGCATGTATTACTCTCCAGAGCTGTAGATGTATATGGACCATTTAAGTCTCTGCTTTGTAGCTAATTGGTTAGCTATAGAAGTGGTTTACAGCCAAGCTGGTAGAGAAGTCAGAATATTACTGTGCCTAAGGTAATTATAAAAATTCAGCAGCCATTCTAATAGTATGTTAAACCTGTACCATTTCCCTGAATTTTTTCTTTCTTCTTATTCTAGGCTCAAATGTAGTTTGGTTCCTATAGGAAATGTCCACATAGTTGAGTGACAGTTTTTAAACTCATTTATCTTAATAAACACAACTTGTGAATGCAACTTTTTACTCATTAACTGAGCAAGCCTTTTTAGCTAACATGGTAAAATTACACAGTTTTTAAAGACAGCTAAACCAAACCTCCGTTTTGCATAGCAGATTTTGGAACAAAGATAGAAATCTTAACTAACCTTCAGGATATGTCTTCTCCTTTTCTTTATTGTAAATTTCAATATGAATTTTGACTTGGGAGGTGCTTGGGTGGCTCAGTCGGTTAAGTTCTGCCTTCAGCTCAGGTCATGATCTCCGGGTCCTGGGAGCAGACCCTGCATTGGGCTTCCTGCTCAGCGGGGAGTCTGCTTCTCTCCCCGCCCCACCCCCCCCGTCACGTGTTCTCTCTCTCTTTCTCTCAAATAAATAAAGTCTTTGAAAGAATGAATTTTGACTTGGACTTCTGAGTCTGTTTGCATTTTAGATTGTGGTGGATGAAAGGTCTTTAACTTGGTTTCCAAGAACGATCACATTTAATGTTCTTTCTCATAGGCCAGCCCTCCAGATCTCTATATTGAAAGATTTAATATAGCTCTTGGACAGTATATGGGAGCATTGCAGAGCATTGTGCCTCTTTTCATATATATGGTAAGTAAGAGCTATTTTCCCTTTCCAAATATCTCCGTTTATTGGTCTAAGTACAGGTAGATGCAGTTAAGCATGTTCTGTTTATCTTTTGCTATGTATTATGTTAGAAATGGAAGTTAATCTATTTTAGTAATGTTTGATTGTGTTGACATAGAATTGTTGACCCTTTTACTGTTTAAAAATTCCATAAATAACACTGCTGAATAGACAATTAGGCATTAATAATCAGTACTCAGCATTTATTTTATTTTTGCCATACAGAAGATACTGTGCTTGGAAAATAAAGGTATATAAGAAAGATTTCTTGTCTTCAGAAAGTAGAGAGTTAAGCCATCTATCTAAAAACATGACATATGATAAATGCCAAGTAAGTCATGCCATAGAAAAAGTAGAGTAATAAAATTTTCTTCCATTATGGTGATGTGATCTCTTTCATTTGGAGAATTACACCATGAGTATAATTTGTAGTCTCTGGACTTTGTTGATTAGCCCCTTCTCTCTCCTAAATATATAAAATCATAGAATCTTAATGTTGGTGTTCCTATTGAAGGCAGGGGCCGTTAGCAACCATTATCCCAATTCTTCTTTGTTTATTAGATTAGACAATGGGATGTTTGGGTTGATCCTAAATTCTGTAGCATAAAGATTGCTGTATGTGGAATACTAATCTTCAAAATGATTTATTCTTCATAAAATATACTTCACTGAAAAAAAATACAAAACAGAACATTGAGAGGAATCTGTATTATCAGCAGAGGACTGTTAATTTGTGGGGAGATATTTACAGTAGAAAAACAAGTAGTCAAAGGTAATGACATGTCTGTACGTTTAGAGAGAAATCTCCAGATACATTAGGTGAAAAAGCAAAATGCAACACAGTATATGATATTTCTTCATAGCAAGTGTTTTTTTTTTTATTGGGGATAAAAAAGCATATCCAGATACATATATCCATATATATGCAAGGAGCATTTTAGAAAGAACATACAAATGTTTTCCCATTCGAATGGGGCCTTTGAGAATGCAACAGAGGGTCTGCTTTGGGAGACTGGTTTTTATTGCATGGTTTTGTTACCATGTGCATGTTATTTTTATAATTTTCATAATCTTCTGTTTAAGAATTAAGAGAATCAGTGAGCAACTTGTTAACATTCCTGTTTTTATTTTCCACACCTATACGTTGAGTTAACATTTAAACATGAACAAATTCAGTCTTGTTTGACTTGCCAGTCATTCTAATCATGATGCTTTTGGCTACAGAAAAACAGAACACCTGATTCAAAGTGACTTCAGTAAATAAGGAAAAGTATTAATCTCTTGTAATAAAACTAAGCAAATACGGCAGTCTCTAGGGTTGGTTGAATCCCATGATTCAATAGTGTTACCAGGGACTCAGGTTCTTTCCTATCTCCTTGATGTACAACAGCATCTGTTTCATCTTGTTCTCATGGTCATAAGATGAGTTATAAGATACTTTGCACTGAAGCCTAGGCTTCTCTCAATCTGATTGCTCTATGTGGGGTCACATGTCAGCCTTTGAACCAAAGACCATTCCTAAGAATGCCATAAGCTGAGTAACTTAGAGTAATCAGTGAAGTGGATTGTATGTTGGGGAGTCAACCAGTGCATGTCCACTGCCTGCTTTCAGCCTAGATCATTGATAAATGGGGTACCTTTTATTAGTGTTTCCTGTTGTTGTCTTTTGATGGTGATACAGTATTTTTAAATGCCTGTCACACAGTGTGGTCCATTTGTCTCTACCTCTCTGTTTAGTTAATGTTAATGTCTTCCTGTGTTCTTTTGGAGGTGTATGGTTCATAACATTTTGTCTTTATGTGCTTTAACCCCATGCCAGAAAGACAAATAACTAATAGTAGCAGGGCTTTTGTTTTTTGATGTTGGGTTTTTATGTTTTAATTGATACCTTTATTAATTGTTCCCTAAAATTATTTTTTGGTGCTTCAGCTCATTAGACAAATCATTTCTCCCTAATTGAGGCACTAAAAAACTATTTTCTTTTTCAGAATAAGTTTTACATCGAAACCAAGCTTAACAGAGACCTAAAAGATGACCTTATAAAGCTGTTTACGGAACATGTTGCAGAAAAGCACATTTACAGCCTAATGCGTAAGTAATTCAACTTACAGGGATGAGATAACACTAGCAATGATCTTTTTGATTTTTGATCAGAGAGCTTTGGCATATACAGCCAGTGTTGACATCTGATTCATATAGCAAGAGGTATTGCAAGTCCAGTTCTATAGAGAGAGACCTGGAGGAATTGAAAATGTGACTTAAAGTCCCCTAGAGAGCTGGGAGCAGCTTAACCAGGTCATTGGACAATGCCTTTATATCTGGGGAATACTATTAAGGGGTTCACCCTAACTTTGTTACTGGTAATTCTAGAAGGAGCACTATGTTGTATCTTTGAAATGGTAGCACAGAATTCTCTCTGATTTTTACTCTTTGGTGTGAAATCCCTTCTCTAGCCTAGTCTAGTCTAGTTATTTATTAACTATATCTTAGGCAAGCTTCTCAGCCTCTGGTCCTGGTTTTTTCTTCTATGAATTGGGATTTATAAAAGATTTAACTTGGTAATGTAGATTGGTAAGTAAGCAGATCAAAGCGCCAAGTTCAGTTTTTCTCTCCCCCTATTCTTGGGCCCCCTGCCCCCTCACAGTAGGTGGTGTCTTATCCTACCTTTCCTAAAAGAGTATACCTCTCTAAGTGGAGTTTAGGAAGTCCCTGCAACCTAATGTCTCAGCATCTTTTAAAAGTTCATGTTTTATGCGGTATATCATGAAGTCATTTTTTAGAATTTGGCACATACTTGGATTTATAGTATGTATTTTTTGCTTTTCTAATAGTCATGATTACTTTCTACCACAGTGAACTCTTACCAGTATTTACAGAAGAATTGTTCTAAGCTTGACCATAAACTCTTTTTCATTTTTGAGTTTAAATTAAGAAAATTAAGAGAATGAATTGTTAAACATTGGGCCAGTTTATTTTAAAAAGGCCAAGTTTTCAAATAATATGATAGATTAAGGTAATATTTGTTTCATTATTATGTTCCCAACAGATTCTAGAATCAGAATAGAGACCAGAATCTTGGGAGCAGCACTTAAGTATTATCTCTGAAGTTGACATTGTCTTTGCTTTCATTGTAAAATAGAACACAGCATTTTGAAGTCTTTCCTGTTAAAATTTTTTAGAGAAATGCTACCGTTTGGTAGAAAAGTTTATTTACTCTTTGAATATGTTTTTATATTTGTCATTAATTTGGAAATCAATTTTATTGGGCATATGCAAAGAGAATATTCAAAGAGAATATAGTCGTCCAGATCTGGTGAGAGAAATCTCTTTTCTGATCCGTGTGCTTTCCATAGATTCATGATATTTTACAAGGTCACACCTTGTGAAGAGTCTCCACATAAAGGCCTCTCCACATAAATACATAAAGTCAGGAAAAAGATGAATTTTTTTTCCTCTTAAACCTTTAATTAATTTGTACTTTATTTTTCAAAAAAGTGATCTTTCTCTTGTCATTATATAGTTTGATTTTCATTCAAAAGTAGATACGCCTTTCTTTTCCAAGTAAACTGTAAAGCTATTAAGCTTTTTTTTTTTAAAGTAGGCTCTACTCCCAGCATGGAGCCCAACGCAGGGCTTGAACTCATGACCCCAAGATCAATACCTGAGCTGAGATCAAGAGTTGGACACTTAACTGACTGAGCCACCCGAGCACCCCGGAGCTTTTGTAAATTGTATAAAACTGAGCTGATCACGTATTTATTGAGCAGTTATCAGGCATTGTGCTTAGAGTAAGGCATTCAGACAGTGACCACTGGCCTCATTGGTTTGGGCTCTGTAACAACAAGGGACACTCCAGTTTATTACTGCTATGTGGATGGTCATCAAAAAGATTTAAAAAATACACTCACTGCTTACTATGTACTAGGACCTGTTTTAGATACTTTACAAATACTAACATTTATTTCTCATAACTCTAAGGTGTAGTAGTCATTACTTCCATGTTACAGATGGAGAAATTCAGGCATAGAAAGGTTAATATTAATTAAATTGGAAGAACAGAGCTATGAAGAATTGATTTCTCATCTCTAGTTATACATTTTCCTGTACGTCCCCCTCACTCCAACAAAACAAATTCTGATCAGTTAATTTCCTTCTGTGGCTTTAGATACATTTGAAAATGCTAGTGTTTCATTTATTATTATTATGCCACCCCAAAACATAGTCTTTTTTATAAAGTCTTTTATTTTGCTCACAAAGCTGCAGTTGGGGCAGGGCTTGGTGAGGCATTTTATCTCAGCTGCACTCAGCATGGGCTGATGTGATTCACCCAAGGGTTGGGGACTTTCAAGACGGCTCACTCATATGACTGGCAAGTTGTGGTGACTGTAGTTTCCTCTAAGAGTGAGTGTCCCAACATATAGGAAATGGAAACTGCCGGTTTCTTAAGTCCTGGGCCTGGAAATTGGCACAGTGTCACTTTTGCTGTGTTGTGTTGGGCAGGCAGTTATAGAGCCCAGATTCCAGGCGAGTGGGCATGGACACACCTCTCCATGGGAGGCATGCTGAAAGAATTTAGGGGCCGTGTTTTACAGCAGAGGCAAATGAACACCCCTCTGCTAATGAATAATTGGTACTCCAATGCCCTGTTTCAATGATTGTTTCACGAATGAATACAGTTACTTCTCACTGTAAATAAAGGCCATTTTCTACCATCTCTCGGTACATACATGCTTATAGAATAAAAAAGCTTCTACTTCTGGCTGGTAGTAAATTTGTTTTCCTTTGAATTTAATTTTTACTTTGCATTAATCTTTGAAAACAGAAATACTGGGATCTACTTTAGCCAGGGTATCTGTAGTATTTTTATATTGATGATTCTGAGCAAATGTGACAAAATGGGCTGGTTAATGGTAGAAGTTTCTTGAGAAAATGTATGTTGAGTTACAGTAGAAGATTTATAGTTCACTTTGACAGAGGGCTTTAAAAATTTACATGATTATCAGTTATTCTTAGGTTCTGCCTTTTAGTTCAGACCGTTATAGTTTGAACTTGTTAAAGGTCAAGAATATTTTTAATTTTAGTTTTGATATTAAGAATTACTTTTCAAATTAGAAAAGGAGAGAAGCCCTTAGGTAAGGCTGTAGCTCTGAGGGATAATTGAAAGCTCTGAGGGGCTTGGTTCTGGCTCCTGTTCAGCTATTAAGAAGCTGTGTGACTTTTAGGATGGCACTTAATCTCTCTAGACTTCAGTGTCATAAACTGTAATGAAAGAGGTTAGTCCTGGAAGTTCAGGAAGGTCCTAGTCTAGTTTTAAAACTGTTAACTTAAAATCAACAATCAGTGGAATTGTTGGAGTATTCTTTTTTTTTTTTTAATTCTATAATTTTGGGGAGAAAACTGTTACTAAGGGTAAAACTTCATTAGTACCTGTTACATATAAGATCTGTATTTCAGTGGTGGCATGGTGAACTAGAAAGAATACAGAATTTAGAGTGAAACAAAAGTTCTCAGACCTCTCTGCCACTTGCTAGCTCTGTGACTTCAGATGAATTATGCGGTGTTTTTTTATTGTTTTGTTTTTAGCCTCAGCTTCCTTATCTGTTTAAAAAAAATGATAATCTTGTGAGAAAGTAAATTCTAAAGTTTAAAAGAATTAAACCTGTAAAGTACCTAGCACCTGTTAAATACTCAAGAAATATTTTCTTCTCGGTTTCATGCTGCTGCCCCCACCCCCATTCCCTTTTTTTTCCTTAAAAGAGGAGACCAACTAGTAAATCTCTTAAGCACTGTTCTCCTAAAAAGAATTTAGGTGGAGAGGATTTTAGTGAACTGTTACGCCATCTCAACTTTGTTATCGTTATGTTATTGAATGTAATTCTTTTTTATTTTTATTGAGTCCTTACCATGTCTCGGAAACTGTATTTTATAATCTGTCTATCTATCTATTTGATGTAGTGTTCATGATTCATTGTTTGCGTATAACACCCAGTGCTCCATTCAGTATGTGCCCTTTTTAATACCCATCACCAGGCTAACCCATTCCCCCACCCCTCTAGAACCCTCAGTTTGTTTCTCAGAGTCCACAGTCTCTCATGGTTCGTCTCCCCCTCCAATTGCCCCCCCTTCATTTTTCCCTTCTACTATCTTCTTTTTTTTTTTTTAAACATAGTGTATTATTTGTTTCAGAGGTACAGGTCTGTGATTTGTCATTCTTACACAATTCACAGTGCTCACCATAGCACATACCCTCCCCAATGTCTATCATCCAGCCACCCCATCCCTCCCACCCCCCACCACTCCAGCAACCCTCAGTTTGTTTCCTGAGATTAAGAATTCCTCATATCAGTGAGATCATGATACATATCTTTCTCTGATTGACTTATTTCACTTAGCATAATACCCTCTAGTTCCATGCACGTCATTGCAAATGGCAAGATTTCATTTTTTGATGGCTGCATAATATTCCATTGTATATATATACCACATCGTCTTTATCCATTCATTTGTTGATGCACATCTTGGCTCTTTCCATAGTTTGGCTACTGTGGATATTGCTGCTCTAAACATTGGGGTGCACGTACCCCTTCAGATCACTACTTTTGTATCTTTGGGGTAAATACCCAGTAGTGCAATTGCTGGGTTGTATGGTGGCTCTATTTTCAACTTTTTGAGGAACCTCCATACTGTTTTCCA